ATATATTATGTAATATGAGATTTTTTTGATTCTTTTAACCTCATTAAGATCTATCACAATTTGTGATTAGTTCATTATCAAGGTAGAATTATTATGATAATACTATAAATTAGAATGAAATATCATATTTGATCTAGCAATTAATAAATATGTTTTTAAATTTTAAAAGCTATTACATTTATTATGAAGATTTACTTATATTAAATTTTGTAAGTTACTCTTTATTTTCATTATAACAAATGCATATTTTTTGATATATATTCCAATAATATTCAAGAAAGTAGTTCTTAAACCTTATAGTTAAAAGAATTGTAATATTTTAGAAATAAAACCAAGTCAAATTTATCATTAATATGAAACCTAAACCCTATCACTGCAACTTTTTTTTTTATTTTTTTTTTATTTAAACTACTTTTAATATTGTTTTTAAAAATATTTAATAACAATAAATTGGTATTTTTTATTTACTTTTTTTATTACTACTTTTTTGATAGTTTTCAATAAAAAAAATGGATGAGAAAATTTTAGAATATCCATATTGTAATAAATATAGTTATAAATATAATAATCTAGATAAGAAATATGAACTTCTTGATTATGATAGTTATACTGATAAATTATCTGAAAAATTTAAATCTCATGCAATATTAATTAAAATTGAATAACTAGATTACAATCTTAATTTTATTGAAGCATTATTAAATAACATTAAAGAATATCTATTATCAAACTTGAAGATAATGATAAAGTAAATGAAAATGATATAGATTGGTTAGGGTTAGATTTTGACATGCAGTCTGAAGCAGATTCTTTAGGTTCTTTATCAATTGATGAAAATGTATAAATTGATTATGAAATTCAAAATGATATTAATAAATCTAGTGATAATTATGTTATTATGAATATGATCAATAGAAAGTTAATGCATTATTTAAATTAAGCCTTTTAGCTACTTTGACAACTTATAAGCATTTATAAATTAGATTATAATTCAATTAATAAAATTATCAAAATAAATCAGCCAAAAATATTGAATTTATTGGGTATATGTTCAAGTCATTTCAACTTTGATCAAAATAAATTTCATATATATGGTTTAAAAAATTCTGTTTTTACAAAAAAATTCTGAATATATAGAAAATGTTATTTGTTCTATCATAATGATAAATATTTTTTAGTAAAGAGGCGGGTGTAGACAACATTTTTGGAAAATATTAAAAAAAAATATTCATATACCATGTTCTGGATTGAATATGTATTTAGTTTTTACAGTAAATATACTTGTAAGTCATTTATTAAATAATATATACACGTAATATATATATTTAAATTATTTTAATTCTGAAGAAAGATATTATTATCAAAGAAAAGGAAGAGTAAATAAATCATTTATATTTGTGCTGACAATCACTTTGAAAATAATAATAAGTTTCTTAAACTTATAGGATATTGAATTCAAGATATTACAATGTTTTAAAAATAAAAAATTAAGGATTTACTTTTTGAAGAACTTTTTCTGCTACTTGTTAATTTTTTTAAAAAGAAATCACAACTATTACTTTTACCTGAAAATAATAAATCAAAGCAACATATATTTGATAAATTTAATCTTCCAAGCTTCTTAATAATAAAAATAACATTGAGATTAAATAAAATAAATTTAACTAAAAATAAAAGGTATTAACAAATACTACAATTTTTTTAAAAAATAACCTAAAGAACTTGAAGAATCATTAAGAATGATTATATGATATTCATTACTAGATATATAAAATAATAAAAAAGAAATAGAAAATCCTTAAAATTTAAATAGTATTATAATAGATTTCCTATATGTCTACATAACTTTTTTGATGGACTCATAATATTACTTTAAAAAAAAATAGAAGATTATTCAAAAAAAACACAAATAAAAAGGATTAGAAATTAAAGATTTTAATATTTTATATGTTAATAAAATTTCAATTTTTATAATATCTATTATACTTATGATTATTTTTCTCAATGTTTATTTTTAATTTAATTATGTAGTAAGTTCGATATGTAGAAAACTGAAATTATAAAGATCTCTTATGTTATACTTTGTATAGCTAATATTGTTTTACATACACTATTATATGAATGAAAATTAGAAAAAAAAGAGCAAATGAAATTAACTTTCAAGATAGATTATTAAAAAAGAAATATATAGAATTTGTATGTAATAGATAACATTTGATTTTTGAGAAGATATATTTATATATGATAATATTTTTGATGTTATAAAATACACAATACATGCAAATTTAAGAATGGTATTTCAGTTCAAATTACCTCATCCTTTATCAAAGATTATAGCAGAATCTGAGTTGATTACAAATTATAGTTTTCAAGTTGATGTTTTTACTTTTGTAGAAAATGAATACAAAAATATAAAGATACTTTTAACTTACTTTTAAGTTTATATAAAAATGATTTTGAAGTTAAATAAGTTTATGAAAAATTATGGAAAGATGTAAAAATAGGATGTCAAATTGAATTGCTAAATGTAATAATTCTCAAATCTGATGAAAATCCTAATAATACAGATAATATATATGCTACAATAAGGATGTATTATGATGAAGTTGACATTAATGGAGTTGAAAATTTAGATGTAGTATATGATGAAGTGATTTTTAAGAGATTAAATACATTAAACAAGACTACGATAAATATTCAACTATTATTAGGAGCTTGGCATATTTCTAAAGCTATGTGTGTTACACTTTTAACAATATATTCTGAATATGAAATTTATGATTTAGCAGTATATCTTGGAGTGTGTTATTTAGATAAATTAGAGAAAGTAATTAACTATCCAACTATATGTTGTATATTAGAACATTTATAGATAATAGTTGGTATAGTATTAAATCAATATATTCAAGATAAAAAATTTACAATGAAAAATATTTTAAATAATAATTGTAATCTTTTAAAAATTTGGTATCTATTTTTTGTTAGACAAGTTTTTGGATTAAACATAAAATTAAAATTAGATATGAAAATTATGATCTTTAATTTCAAATCTATATGCTTTTTGCACCACTTTTTCCAGTAGCTGGTCAAATAATTATACACAATCAGTTACACATTTTATATCAACTGTTGAAAAAATGCAAGTTTACAAAACATACTTCGGCATGTTTGTTAAGTTAATTTAACACGTTCTGAATACTATTTTGCTTTCAATAAGATATTAAAATGATTTGGTGTAATGTTTGTTAAACAAAATATTGGTTTAGCAAAAAAACAATAAATGATTTAAAACTACAGATTATGTTAATTCAAACAGAGCATAATAGATTAAATTTACATAACTCATCAGTTTTAACTGATTGTAATATTAAATCTCAAAAAGATGCAATATGAAAATTAGTTGCTGAACTGCGACCAGCTTTTGAATATCCTAATAGTTTAACAACTTCAGAACTTTTTAAAGGAGCAATACAAAACACAGATCAAGGTTTATAAAAACTAATTAATTATTATAAAATGAGCATAAATAGATTAAATAATATTTACAAACAGAATGTTAAAAGAACTATTATATGAAATACACGACAATAAAGGGTTTAAATTAAAGATAAAAGAGTTGCTAAGCGAACCTAAATTTTTTTTTTTAAAAAAATTTTTGCTTTAAAAACCTATCGCCACAACAGCAAAAATTTGAAGATCCAACTATATTTTTTAGTCTTACGAAAAATGAATGATTTCTATTAATTTTAGTTATTTAAAGTTAGATGAATTCGATTATTAAAATGTTTGGCGAACCAAATCATTTAAAGTCATTATTAAAGTTCCGTAATTTGGTACCGATAATTCATCAATGATAATTTTATTCTCCATTTCACATATTTTATTGATCCGGAAAATTGCATTTGAGATAACATTTGAATAAACATGTAGGTCAAAAGTTTCATCTTATTCATATTCGAAAGAGTAAAATACTTTAAAAATGCATGTACAGTACAAAAAGGAATTACTTTCCGATCGTTAAAAACTTGAAGGCAAGTAAACCCATTTTAAGATCCCCCAGAAGATTTTGCATTTCGATTTAAATTATTAAATTTTTATCGCGTCAAATTATCCTTTGCTTCATTTAGCTCTTCATTAAAAAAATTGAAGTTACATCAATCATGGGACCTTTGCAATATAAAGGGGGAAAAGAATCACTTTTACTTTTATATGCCAAATATGATTCAAAATATGTTCAGATTTAACATTAACTCATTTTTTATTTTTTCCAGTTGTTTCCCCTTTTATATTGCAGATTCCATGAAAGTAATTTGATGGTTTATTAAATTTGTCGAAAAAAAAAAATTTTTTTAGTATATTACAAATTAATACTAGTTAAATTAGTTGGAAATCGCATTGTTATCGTTTAAACTTTTTCATTTTCTCATTGTGATTTAATGTAAATCAACTAAATATACATTATACAAAGCCGATCATATTTAATTGGCCTAATTATCTCCATTCATATTTGTTTTCAAAATTAAAAATTGTGATTATAAAAGCCTAACACAAATTTGCTTAAAAGAGGTGACTATATAGGAGGAGACTATATAGAGGGTAGATATTGATAAAAATCAATCCAATACCAATACCCAATTTGGTTCGTATCTACAAAGATCCAAAATTTAAGGTTTTTGGTTTATGTATTTTAAATTAATTATACATTAGTATTTTATTAAAATAAATAAGCTATTCCGTTGTTCGCTTTAGTAAAATATCGAAATTTTAATAGTAGTTCAAAGCAAATATAACTAGATTAGTTTAGACTTTCGATTAAATTGGAGATTGGATAAGTTCAATCCAATTCAAATCATTATGTCATTTTGGATTGGATTCAATTGAAGATTGAATGCAAAATAATATAAATAAGAAGGTTAATAAATTTCAAATTTATTTAATTTATTTCAATTTAAAAAATTCTCATATTTTTCATAATTTTTATATACGCGTATACTTTCTATATGGATTCAAGACAAGATGAAAGCAATAGTCCAGGTAATAAAATTTTAAAATTCGCAATAATCTTTCCAATGTTCAACAGGATGGTAATGTAATGTTTGATCTATATTTTTTAACTTTACTTCAAACTAATAATTTATAGAATTAGCGGAATGTATGTATGATGATGATACATTTTTCTTGGAAGATTTCACGGACTGGCTACGACTACAAATTGCTCAACCCTCTGGTATCACTATGTCACCGAATACGGACCATTTACAAGAAACTTCCAACATGACTGAATATAATTATGAAACTGCTGAACTCTCTATTATCGATGTGTCAACAAATACGGACAGGCTACATGAAAATTCCAACATGTATGATGGTCCTCAATATAATTATGAAACCGCTGGACCCTCTGGTATCGCTGCGTCAACAAATATGGACAGGCTACAGGAGAATTCCAACATGTATGATGGTCCTCAATATAATTATGGAACTGTTGGACCCTCCGGTATCGCTGCGTCAACAAATATGGACAGGATACAGGAGAATTCCAACTTGCATGATGGTCCTCAATATAATTATGGAACTGCTGGACCCTCTGGTACCGTTGCGTCAACAAATATGGACAGGCTACAGGAAACGTTCGACATGTTTGATTATCGGGGCCCTCCAAATAATCATGAAAACTATAAACAAGGTAATAAATATTTTAAAATTTGATTAATATATTTTGCTTCAAACTCATAAAACAAACTAATTATTTACAATGATACATCTAGATGCGCCATCTTATTCTACTCAGCTTGACATTCAAATTTCAACAAAATATGTGAACATTTCGCAAGTAGAAATTACAGCTCCATACAGCATGCCTGATCATCCAAAAATATATGACTGTAATCAAGGTAACAAAGAACTTTTAAAAATTAGCATTAATCTTTCATTTCATTTCAAAAATTGCTTATTCATACCTGAGAACGATGAATGCTATTCAACTTTTTGGCATTATAACATTTTGACATTATTAGCCGAGAAATTTGGCGATTTTACCGAACCTTATAAACGTGGAAGATCCCAATCTGGCAAAAGCGAAAAATCTAACGTAACGAACAATAAAGTTTCGTGTAAATGGGAATTTAAATCCATTGAAATTTTGCTTATATACTTGAAAGAACGTAAAGTTGATGTTCGACAATTAGAATCTCGTGGCACTATAGCTGAGAAAGTTAAAACGACCCTCTGGCAGGGAGCCTCTAGGAAACTATCCAGAAAATATTCTGATGTTCAGTGTGAACATAAATGGAAAAATATTAAACGGCTTTATAAAGTAAATAATCTATTTTTTTTTTAATAAAAAGTTGGCCAAACTGTCATTAATTTGAATGTTTTAATTTAGACAAAGCCAAACCATTTGATTTTCAAGTCTTTCAAGTCATATGTTGACGAAATTCTGATAAAATAGATTTAAAGTCAGTTCCATTTACGTGATTTTATAAATTGAATTTTATCAAATTTCATATACCTATCTTATGAAACAGTACGAAAGAGACGTAAACGAAGGAGGTTTCAATCCAGTATTTCTACGAATAGATCAGGATTAAATATTGTGATTTATGTCACAACTTTAAAAATATAAATAAAATTCAGAAGAAAAAGGTATAAAACGTACCTACCCTATATATATTGCGTTTCGTAGTTAAAAATATTTCATTCTAAGTTAATAAAAACGTGTACTTTTAAAAACTCTTTTTACACGAGATTTTAATTTCCCATTTAAACTGTATTATAAATTTTCTTCTATTGGTTTAAATTATATCTGGAAAAATTCCCAAATTTTCATAATAGAAATCACAAAATCACGTGATATTCATTAGATCATTGAACTTTGTTTTTTGCATTACATGGCAACTCGTAAAAAAAGTGTTCATAAACACTCGTATTAATGAACATCCTGGTGTTTTTAGAGAGGATGGAGATATTACGTTTTGCAATTTTGTAACCTCAATTGGAAATCAAAATTTAATAAAAGTAATTGATTTAAAGTTAAACTTTATTTTATATTAAAATAAATCATGCACCAGGTTGCTATCGCGACGGAAAAAATGTAAAGTTTTAACATATTTTCAATAAATTTAAAATAAATATTAATATAATTGGGTTTTTTTTTTAATAAATCATCTAACCTAACCTTAACCCTCTTGTATTTGGTATTTTTGTGTTTTTTTATAAAAACTTTAACCCTAACTCTAATCCTAATTCTAATGCTAACTTGTTATTAACGTTTTTTAATAAATAACCTAACCCTAACACTAGCTCTAATCCTAACACAAATCTTAATACTAACTCAAATTCAAATTTTAATACTTCTGTATTTCTCTGAAAATAGGCATTCCCTAAAAATAAAGTACTATCACATTTTTTAGTATCTGAAAATAAAATTAATGCTAAAACAAACTGATCTATTAAATATTTTATTAAAATTCAATGTTTTTTATTTATGAAAAAATGTATTTATAATAACATGTTACATATCTATATCTTATTTGTAACAACTTTTTTTATTTTCTTAATAATAAATTATTCTAAATATTTTATAAATAAGATTTTTATATGCAAAATTTAATTTGGAAAACTTTTATTTAATGTACAAAAGGCAGTTTTATAGATAAAATTTTTAGTTATAAACAGTTTCTTGAAATTTTTTAAAAAAATTTTTTTGCTAAATTATTTATATTACATCTGATTTTAAATTTTGATTAAATAAAATTGAGGATGTTACAAATAAAATACATAATATATTGTTATAATTAGATTTATCCTATTTAAAAATTCATTACCAATATTTCATTTATCACCATCACTACAGTCATATCTTGATATAATGAAGTTACTGATCCAGCTGATCAGGACTTCATTATAAGAATCTTTGTTAACGCTATAACGAATTATTCGGTATGTATAACTAATAATTCATTATAGCATTAACGAATTATTCATTATAGTAGATACTAATTTCATTACACAAATATAATTTTATTATGATATAATTTTTCCAGAAATATTTTCACGTTATTTTGTAAATTCTAGTCATTTTATTTTAATATGCAATCTGTTAATCATTATATAACAGTAATGCTTCAAATGGTTCAGTTCAGACTGAATTATAGGCCAATCCAAAACTGGACTGAAAATTTTGGTAAAAATCTGAACTGAACTGAAAATTTCAGATTAATCTAAAATTTCAGATCATTTGAAATGATAATTTAATTGTTCCAATCGAACGATTCTTTTATCGTTCATTTGGAATGATAACTTTAATTATTCCAAATGAATGATTCTTTATCGTTCATTTGGAATGATAATTTTATCATTCTAATCAAACGATTTTCTTACTGTTTGTTTGGAACGATAACTTCAATCATTCTAAATGAACAATTTGTTATCATTCATTTGAAATGATAACTTCAATTATTCTAAATGAATGATTTTTTATCATTCTTTTAGAATGATAATTTAATCATTCTAATCAAATGATTCTTTTATTATTCGTTTAGAATGATAATTTAATCATTCTAATTGAACGATTTTTTTATCATTCATTTAGAACAATAATTTAATTGTTCTAATCAAACGATTCTTTTATCATTTATTTAGAATGATAATTTACCATACTATTCCGAAAATAAGCATCCTTTTTTTGCTATGGGAGTGTTTATTTTCAGAATATTTTTATAAAATTTAGATCAGGCAAAAAAATTTAAAGAAAATTTGCCGATTTTTGCCAATCTTTATATAATGTAAATGTAGCGTAATGTGTAATGTAAAATATAAATCACGCAAACTTTCAAAATCTGGATTTAAAACTTGTTTTTGAATAACATGCCACAAAGAAGAAAGAGGAGGGTAAGAAAAGTTTCAACTAAACATTTTAAAAGAGTTAAAATTTGCCGCAATTCCTATTCTATAAAGAAAAAGCAAGAAGTCGTTAATTATGCCATTGAAAATAGAAGAAATGAAGCTGCAAGATACTTCAATCTTGATAGTAGTATGGTTGGTAAATGGATAAAAGCAAGCAAAGAGTGGTCTGAAAAGAACCAAAATATTAAAAAAGTTGGTTCTGAAAGAAAAGAATTTTTTCCTGAAACAGAAAAAAAACTTTATGATTGGATCATAGAACAGAGAAAGAAGGGATTAGGTATTACTTATACATCCGTAAGAATCAAAATGTTGAAAATTTTAAGGAAACAAGAAATGATAAACATTTATGGCAATTCTGCAGATTTCAAAGCGTCTTGCCGCTGGATGTCTGGTTTTATGAAAAGATACAAGTTGTCTCAGCAATGCCATACTAAAGTTTCCCAAAAGCTTCCTTCACAAATTAATAAATTGCTAAGTAATTTTCAACAGTACATTATCTGACTTCGAACCAAAAAATCTTACGAAATAGCCAGCATTTTAAATATAGACAAGACTCCTGTCTGGTTCGATATGGCAGGAAACTTTACTATCGATCAAATAGACGAAAAGACAATCCATATTCACAGAACTGAAAATGAAAAAAACTGATTCACAGTTGTTTTGACGTATGTCATAGGTAGGTACATTTTCAAGTATAGCATTAATTTAGAGACCGATTGGTATTGGCATAATTCGACTTATTATAGTTGTCTAATTAAACTTTTTATTAAACATTTTAAAATTATTTAGACAGAACCAAATTTCTGCCAATTTGTATTTTTAAGGAAAAAAATTCCCACGTGGTGAATAGATTCCACCCGGAGTTTTCGTTTAGTTTCAGAAAAGCAGATGGATAGATACCAATCTGATGATAAAGTATGTTGATTATATCAAGGACCTGATCAATAATGGCCTAGCAATTATTGTATACGATTTATTCAGAGGCCATTTAGAAGAATCCGTCAAGAAAAAATTTTGAGATCATGGTTTTGATATAGCAGTCATTTCCAATGGTCTAACCAGCATATGTTAACCATTAGATGTTACAATCAATAAGCCTTTTAAGGACAATTTACGCAAAGAATGGCATTTATGGATGGTAGAAAGAGGAGCCGGAATAACTACAGCAGGCAACCTTTGTCGTGCCAAACTATCCAATGTTTGTAGATGGGTAAAGCGGGCTTGAAAAAGGATTCTGGACGAAATGATTATAGAATCATTTAAAACCTGTAAGATATCATCATCTTTAGATGGATCAGATGATGAAATCAGTGAAAATGATGACATTAGTAATGAATCTGATGATGATATCGTTGATAAATCTGGTGATAATATTGTTAGTGATGATGATATTACTGGTGATGATGATATCGTTGATGATGGTGATAATGATAAAGAGAAATAGCGGAATGATAATTACTAATCAATTTTTTGTATTACAATAGAATTTTACGGGTTAATTAGTTAGCACTGACATTGCTGAAACAAATGGTTATTCAGATGTATGTTATGAAATCATATAATAATTTGCAAAGAATCGTAAGATCCCTGAAATTGTAATAAATTTTATAATAAAAATGCACAGAAATTTTATTATCAATGTTATTTTTATT